TGTATCAGGTCTGGGTCTGGATCACCCCAGGTCACAGCAAAAGAAGGCACCCCAACCCTGCGGCAGGTCAGTCTTGCCTGGGGAATGCTCATGGGAAAAGCAAAAGGTGAGAATTTGAAGCTGGGCATTACGTATGTAAGAAGATGAAGCGTCATTGGTCATTTCCCGTATAAACAAATAGTTTGTTTATGACCTTGATTTTCTAAATACTCAGTAAAGCACATCATGAAGGCCTTTTGCCTTCATGCTCCCTTTTCTGTCCTTAATTAAACTTCATGTGCTCCTCAGATGTACACCATGTAATTTGTTCAGGAAAATTCAAACCAGTAATCTGGTATTCTGTGTGAAGATTTTTTTTTTTTGCCTCTTGCACATGCTTGAAAAATATTTTTCTAAAAAAGAAAACAAATCTTCACGTGACAACAAAGTCTTTAAAGTGAATCACTATTCCAGAAAATAAAATCAAGCCAAGAGAATTCCATAAAGATAACCCTTTTCCTTTTTTTATTCCTTTCCTCAGAAAGGTGACTTGGGACACCTTAAATGGAGAGTCAGACAAGAAAGAAAATGTCCTACTTAGAAGGGTCCTGCCCAGCTGGAGGTGGGCATTTTTCTTTGCGTTACGACCTATAGTAACTTTACTATCAATCCTGAGGAAGAAGTTTCCAGAATAACCACACTTCATGAGCCCTGCTGAATTTGAGGTATCCACGTAGCAACAGTCTCGCGATGGGGAAACATTAATGCTTTTTATATTGGTGATCAGCTGTAACATGAGCAATTAAGTACAGTACTAATGGACTATGGCCAGGAGCCTGGTACTAATATTAAAAACTGACAGAGATGAATAGGTTTGGAAGCAAAACCAGGCTGACAAAGACATTTTTATGAAGTGCTTGGGCCTATTTGATTTAGACCAATCAGAGGCAAGTTTGGACGAGCCAGGCCTTCAGCGACAATGATGCATTCATAGGCATTGTACCGTTTCTGCTATGCCTTAAATAAAAACACCCATTGATTCTTTTCAACAACCCACACTTTCATTATTACACTCATTAATAAACCAAAAGCGCCCAACTAATATACAAGTAATATTTACTGAGGAACCGGCTACTTTTTTCTTGTTGGAAAATGAAAACATTTACTGGAAACATGAACCGCACCACATGAAAAATAAATCAGTGGATAATGTATAGTAGATCACTCATTTCTTCTTCATCTTCTAGGGAAGCGAAGCTGGTAGTAGGGAAAAAGGAAAAGGATCACGTCTGCATATCGGGGTGAAAAGAAGGAGACGAGAAGATTGCTTGCACAGGACGAACGCAGTCATTCTGTTGATCTGATGGGAAAGGTTTGAAACATGTCTATGGGCATCTCCAGACTAGATGTTTGCCCACAACATCCTGATCTTTTTCAGTTTCTTGAACCTTCTTGAAAACGGTGGCCCTTCACCAGTCTAGTCCTGTCTGTTTTGTGTTAGCGTAGCCTGTAACTAGCGAGAAGGAAAGAAATCTGCCAAGTCCCTTGGCACAGTTTTAGCCAAGAGCTTCAGCTTCTTTTTTGACCAAAGCAGAACTGTTTCTCGTCCCTGGGACGGATCTGAGTGTCCTCTGCCCTTCTCTGGTAGAACCATTAAAGAGAAGTAAGATGTAAGACAGCTAGAGCAGCTGCCCCCAGACTCTTCTTCAGACCACAGCACATGGGAACATGGCTGATTCCTTTCAGATCATGATCAGCTTAAAATGAGTGAGACTGGTATAATTGTAAGTGGTTCTCATTTTTTAAAAAGATTCTACTTACTTACTTGGAGAGAGAGAGAGTCAGCGAGAGTGCGCATGAGCTGGGGAGGGGGAAGGTGAGGGAGACTGGGGGCTCCATCCCAGGGTCCTGGGTTCATGACCTGAGCCGAAAGCAGAAGCTTCACTAACTGAGCCACGCAGGCGCCCCCTGGAGTCTCATTTTTTTTTAAAAAGTCAATTATCTGCAAATTTTAGTACTTCACTATTATTAACTACTCACCACTCAAGACATCCCTTGCATCTGATCACAGCAATGTGAACGAGTGAAAGGATATCCAAGGAAGGGTAAAGGCCCTTGCGGATCGCCCTGGGACAACTGTGTTCTAACCTGGGTTTCTGGCTCTGTGCGGGGATTTCCATATTGGGGGTCCCACTTGGCGGTTGACTGTTGTCTCAGCCCCAGATTACTCTTCTGTGCCCTGCTTGGTGTTGCTGGGACCGAGATTCTGCAGATTACATGTCTCTTTCGTCAGCTGTCTTCCTTTTGGGGTCCTGCAAATGGGGCTCTAGCAGGCCAGGGGAAGGGAGGAAAGGCTCCTTCTTTCTGTTTTGCTTGCTGTGAATTTCAGGGCCAACCCAACAGTAACTTAGCAGCAGCAGTTGGTTCCAGCCTGTAGCTTCTGTCAACAGTCCCAGAAGAGTTTTATGGCATTTGCCTTGAGGTCCAGCATTAGCCAGGGAGCACTGCCTCCTCAGGTCTGAGCCTAGCTTCACAGTGCTCCACCTCTGAGCTTAGTAACGACCGGCACTGGATGGGATCCTCTCCCCAGGAGGGATCTGAACCCCAGCTCTGTGACGCATACTCTCTAAACTTCTGGGTGGCAACACCATACCCCCTTTCTCCTATTTCTTGACCCTAGGGAGGCTATGGTCATTTCCTCCATATTAACGTAGTGCTTTACAATGTTTGCTTCAGTAATTCCCTACAGTAGATTCTCTTTGTTGAATACCTGGTGTGGTTTTTATTTTCCCTACTGGAGCCTGACTGATACACACTGACCCAACAAATTCTAGATTTAGCAAGAGTGGGTGACATAGCTTTTCAAAAAAATTTAATCCAGTGGGAGACCAAACCTTTTTGAAATACTCCTTTACTCTCAAGAACGAGGAGAGAAGAGGCATCTTTAAAGAATCTTAAATAATGTTTCCTAGTAGCTAAATTTGAGGGATCTCAACTAGAATTTTCCAATTTGACGGACTGAAGGCATTTGGGATTCTACTACTCCAGATGAGGTAAATCATGAAACAAAGTACACAGTCTTCAAAAGAATATATCCTGGTATTTCATTTAAGATTGAGGCTATTTTTATCCACATAACTGCTTGAGTTAATTACACATACATTCACTCTACTATTAGATCCTATCCTTTTTCCATCCCAAACCTAATCTGTTTTTTTGACCATGCGATGTCCGTAATATGTTTGATTAATTTTCATTCTTTAACTGGGTGAGTGAGCTAACAGTTGACATACACTTTTTTTTTTTTTTTTTTTTTTTTTTTTGCAAATTTTAACTCTCTGGTCCTTAAAGTTTGATGGTTCAGATGTTGGGAACATTTGCAGATGGAGGTATGGTGGGGGCGGGGGGATGTTCACTATCAGAATACAAGTCCTTTGAAAATACAGACGGAGTTTATAATGAAAATGCTCCAATTAAAGCCTTGACTTTAAAGTCAACACCAAACTGAATGTGTTCCCTTAAGTGCTGTTTACTTAACACTCACCTGAGATACCAATGCTATTTTGTACTAGGATTTCAGTGATGCCCCTGTTACGTCCATAGGTTTTTATATTAAATACTGAGAGAAATAATGCTCACATTTGAAAAACAGATGTAGTATACTGACAGAAAGTCTAAGCCCTGTCACCAATTTTTAAAAATCTTTGTGGGTTGTCACTCAACAAGTAAGGCAATCTCTTGCTACTACTTTGGGGGGATTTTTCATGGGGTACTAAACCCAACCTAGTTTCCTATGACTATACCTACAAAAACTTTCTAAGTTTCACTGGATGGCTATACGAACAGAGGCTCTATGCTAAATGCAACACAGATAAAAATACAACTGAGCTCAACAAAATATGACTAAGAGGAGATCCACTAGGTAACATTATCTAGAGTATCCAAAGGTGGGTGATCTGGGTCGAAGTTGGCATGCTAATGGACTTGTACAGAACAGCCATCACACTTAGCAGTTCTGTTCTACCTTTCAAACTGGCAAGCTAACTGGCCTGTTTGTTCAGCTGTGTCTTGACTTCATTCCATCCATGACCGTTATTAAAACATACACAGCCAGACAGACACACACCACACACACACACACACACACACACACACACACACACACACCCCTCTGCTTGGATCTTACAAGCTCTGAATTTGAAACCAGGTTGCTGAGTCAGTCAACATGTCAGCGGGGAAATGAAATGCCAGGGATGAAGAAGTTGGCGCAACCCTAACAAATTAAGAATGGCCTGGAAGTGGAGAGCAAGGATAACGTGTGAATTTGCTAACAGACCCGCACTGCTGTGGGCAACAACGGTCCTAATGCAAAAAGGGAACATTCCTGTGGAGACAACCTTCATAGCACATTACCTCTTATTTGCATGATCATCACCTTTTGAGAGAAGCTGCAAGTGTTAGAAAACTGAACTATGCAAAGCTTGGCAAGAAAGGATTTTCTTGGTCAAAAGCATAGCCCTAGAAGAAAGAAATACCAAGATGGGGAGAAAAACCAATGGATCTTATCTGGGGCCAATTTTCTTATTAAAGCAGTGCTTACTTTTCAATATTAGTACATTCAACATTAAACCATTTCAATGTCAATACGGTTTCATGGTAACCCCATGGTAACAGTGCAGAATTAGGATTTCCAGAAGTGGAAGGTTCTCACAGCAAATGAACCTACGGAGAACGTATCGAATAATCTAGGCTTGTGGGGAAAAAAATAAAAAGGTATTGTCAAATAGGTGGCCACAGGATAAAATCAAACCAAAAGAACATCTAATTTTAGCCCCAGTAACCTGAGAAAGCCATGTCCCCTAAAAAAATCACAAGACAGTATGCAAGCTAAAATGCCAGAGGATATTTTCTATTTCCAGAAAGGTCCTTCAGACTTCCCCTTATCTTATCCTTCACAAGAAGCTTCTTGCATTGAACACGCTTTTAATTAGGCAAGGACTTTCCAGGAGAGGGGTTCTTACCTTTCATAATGCCTGCGGGTGCACGTGGCAGCGCTGGTGCTCCCAGGATTACCGCCTAATTCATCATAAATATGTTTCCATTGTCGGCGGGCTGTTATCTGAAAAGATGGCAATGGGAGATTCAATCTTGCATCATAAGAGATTCACAGGGCCAGGATTCAGTACATATGCAACAGGCAGAAGAGGACAGTCTGTTCTGGAAACCCAGAGACAGAAAAGTCCAAATGAGCATGTGGGGAGACTCGGGGTTTCACAGGGGGATCTCACTCGTGGTACTTTTCTTTTCAATAAATGTGGAATTCTGCTTTGGGTGCTATATAGTGTCACCCTTAAAGCATTTTCTCTAAGGCATCTCCCTGGCTAGTTTACGTAGTTATCCTCCCTACCTCCCCACCCCCCTCCCCAGGAACAAACTCTTACTCTGATCCTTTAGGTTGGGTTGATAAAGCATCAAAATAAAATAAGATTTTAGCTAATGCATCAGTTTAAATGAATCAGAATGAACACTGGTTGCTTAAGGGGAATGGGCGGCCAAGGGTATATGAAAAGAGAGAGGCTTTTCACCAAACCTGCTTTTGTATCTTCTGATTTTTGACCTGTGTGCTGTGTTGACCACTTCAAACACTAAATAAAATTACTACATAGACTAATTCAATTGTTCCAATTGCTTATGGAATTTGCAGTCATCTCCGGCTTTATTTTTATGCCAGCCAGCTCCTCTAACCACCAAAACAAAACCCAAATCTGAAACTGTATATGTTGCAACCTGTTTATTTTTATTCCCTTAGGTCAGGAAATTGGGCGATCCATCCAGTACTAGGAAAACGAACAAATTCCAAAATGAAAATGCAAGCTATGTCTACTGGGGAGATGGGTGACTAGAACCCGAGCAGCTTACAGTCTACAGAACAGCATACTACGGCCCTGTTTAATCACTTTCTTTAATTTTATTTTTATACATAAATTAAGATTTTACAAAATAACAGATGCATGATCTGGCAAATGATTAATCTGGGGAAACCACGTCATTTACTACATCCGAGCAAGTCTAGTATTTCCTTGCAAGGAGGAGACAGAGCCCATTCTGAGGTCCTTGTGAATGCTTCTAAACGGAGTTACAGGAAAACTCTGTTATTGGAATGTGCGGGGCGGGGGCGGGGGGTGGGCAGGGTGTGGCAGAAGTGCCCACGGCAGTGGCAGTGGCAGTGGCTACAATCGCCCCGGGGCTTCTTTTGAAATATACTGGCAGAGCTGCAAGCCGACTTCACTTAGGGGCTAAAGGCAGCAAGCCCTGGGGAGGTGGGGAGCGATCTCAATCCGCAAACAGGGGCTCTGTCCCTGTATTCTAAGGAGGAGGGGAGGGGTGGTTAAAACACTACAGGGTAAATGGCACCTTTTCCATTTTATATAAAAACCCCTTTATTTCTATAAACCCTTCTCGACCCTGAGACAATGGGAGGTTTGCATTGTTCAATTTCCCAGGAAGCATTCTTGAACCAATGAGTTTCAATAGTTCTCTCTTGACAGAACCACCTCTTGCATCTCCTGGCAGGTATGACTAAAAATAGATATCCTCTTTCATTTATAGCTTGGTTTAGATGATAATATATGGTTTCAAGCCCCTTTCAAAACACTCAAAATACACATTTCAGTAATTATTTTATATTTAATTACGATCTCCCTCTAATCTTTGAAATAGTACACTTTCAGGCTGATCTAGTCAAGATCTATGTAAGGGAAGGAGCGAAAATGGATCCCCTCCCACGTGTTTCTGTTATTCCTCAAAGCCCTTAGCACACCAAGGCCCCTTGAAACACACCTCCATAGTTGTCTCCCTCAGATGAGGTGTGTGGGCCCTGGGGAGTCCAGCAGGGCCAGAAAACAGGTCTGTCTCTGCATGCACTTCAGAGGAAATCATCCCTTTTGTCATCCTTATATCTCTTCTGTGCACTGTTTCATATTTTATGAAGTACTATCACAAGCGTGACACCATTTCATTCTCCCTTCAGCCTGTGAGGTCGATTACAGGAATCTCATCACAGATGAAGAAAGACACAGAGAGTTTGTCCAACTTGCCCAAGGACACACAGCAGTGGAATGGTCACACCAGGGCTCATACAAATGTCTTATGATCCCAAGAGCAGGCTTCCTTTTCACTACATCGAAACAGCCTCCCCATCAGAATGAGCTGGTGAACAGCCCACATGTGTAGCAGGGTGTTAATGCAGAATCTAGGGACCTTGTGCTTCCCGTGAGTAGAGGGCTATGGAAATCACAGCTTCTGCTACAAGGTCTCGACTTTGAGCTGTGGGTCTCTTACTAGTGAAGAAATAGCACAGCCACAAGGTCAGCAAAAATCCAAGGGGATGGGTTAGGCATAGTGCTTTGAGATTTTACTTCCACCCAGTAATACTATGCTCCTTTTACCCTGACCACGTGTGTATCTAGTTAGAACAGAGGTTCACTATTATGTTCACCAATGAATCACAGATAAGTCTCAGTTATACTGGAATCCATCCATTCACTCAGCCATTCATTCACCAAATATTTCTTGAACATCTCCCACTTGTTGGGTGCTGTGCTAGCATCTGGGATGCAACAATGAAAACCAGATCCAACACCCAACATGACCACATCCTAGTGTGTGTGTGTGTGTGTGTGTGTGTGTGTGTTTGTGTGTGTGTGTTGGGGAGGATTACCAAACATAAACAAGGGACTACACAGATAAACAAAATAATACAGGTTGTGAAAAGTGTAATGAATGAAAGACCACCGATGATGGGATATTTAATATATGGAAACTGACCATGCCCCCACTCCTACACCTATCCTCTGGACTTGGGGGTAGTACCCTGTTCAACACTTGCCTATCACAGAAATGACAAACTTCTTTAAGAATAAATAATGAATTATCAAAAGGAGGAAAATAATCTTCCTCATGCTAGGACTGAAACTGTGGCAGCAGGGGCCAGCCTCCAGTATCACTTGGCATTAGTTAAGCCATGCACAGCTGGTTAGTGGTCTGTGTTAGCCCCTTCTAGTAAGTTCTGGGTTTAAATACAGTTTTTACCAGTAAGAGTTGATCCGGAGCGAAGACAAGGGCTGGGCCTTCCAGGAAGTGGTCCCTGTTTACCGAGCTTCCACTGGCCGGCCTGGATGAATCAGGCCATTTTGAGATATTTTCTTTCCACAGGAAAGTCATAAAATGTGCTCTTTCCAACTGCTAAATGCTTTTATGTTTTTAAGTACACAGTTCTCCTGGGTATGCCTCTCCATTTTTTGTGTCCAGATGTGCTCTTAATTCAAACGCTGTCCACAGGCTTTAAAGTGAGAAATGTCTAACTCCCCCTGTTGTCCAAACCCACTGTGGGTCCCACAGCCCTATAAGGAGAGAGGAAAGAACACGAGAACTCCTCCTGACCAAGCTACTGGGCATTGTGCTCCCACCTGTATAAATGTGTCTCCTGTACTAATATGCTTTCCTTATGCCGAAGTATGCATTTGCTTCAGGTTTTATTCTGTTGCCCCGAATGTGTGTTATCTCTAAAACCCACTGGGGCAAAACTAGTGTCTGCCTCATAGTGTCTAGCCCCCAGTTCCACTCAGCTGGAAATAGTCTGATCCAGCCATGGGGTGAGTCTGACTAGCTCTTGGGTTAAGCTGGAGCCTCCCAGTCATGGTCACATTTCTACTTGACCTTCTGTTATTGTAGGTTTTTAAGGATACAAAGAATTTCTGGCTCTTTGTTTCCTGAAGAAAATGGCCAAATTCATACAAGCAATTATTTTTCTTGAATTGTACTTCCCTTGTCATCTCCTGCAAGACCCTCACCTAAATGATAGGGATTCCTGACCTCAATCCATCTTCTACTGGCTACCATTGAGGGCACTGGGCCAGGTACAGAGGTGTGGAGAGGAAAGATGGAAAGGATGGAGGGTTGAGGGTGGGGAGATATCATGAAAAGAAAGAGAAGTTACTACCTTCAAGGGTTTGTAACTTAGCAAGAAGCATAACCTCATATGATTAACCATAAAGCAAGATGAAAACCTGAGCAGACGGCACTCAAGGGAAGCAAACCAGCCTAGGTGTGTGGAGACTTCATCTCACTTTGAAGACAACTTGACAGTTACTCCCTTCCCTGGTATGGGCAAGACCCAAAAAACTGTGAAGAGCACTGCACACCTATTATGTTCAGGTATGTTCATTTCTTCCAAATGTAGTGGTTTTCAAACTGCTCTTTAGGATGCAAGGTGGCCTGAAACTAACCCTCCACATCTCTGCCAAGAAAATGGGTCCAGGGGGTGGGAAAGGAATCTGTCCCATCTATTGCTTATTTGATGAAAATATCCTGCTATTAAAAAAAAAATTGGGTAACAATTTTAACCTAAGACATGGCATTGGAGCCTTGGTTTCTTTACCTTCGAGGTTGCAGGGATGAAATAATGTTGGAATTTTTGTGGCCTGGTTAGGAAACAGCAATCAGAAATCTTGCAGGACAGTGTGTCCATGGCTTAAGAATGTAGCAGATGTGAAGTCAAAAGGAACATTTGCCTGCATGCAATGCTGCCCAGGCTGCTCAGAGAAACAGCCTCTTTCTCGGGACACCTTGAGGGCGGACTGAATTCAAGGAAGATGACTTTTTTTTCCTGGTAGTACTCCAGGAACTGGAGCCTTTCAAAACTACATGACATCATCTTTGGCCTCAAGAGTTCTGAATTAAGCAAGAGGCTTTGTCCATCCAGAGTACTAGGGTTAGATTCAGAGGATGTCTTGAAATGATGTCAAAGCCAGAATCTGGTATCAAAGCCTAATCCTTCCAGCAAGAAGCCATGTGACCTCTTCCTCCAGATGAGAAATAATGGTCCTGTCTCAGCCATGGGGACAGACGGAGCTGCTAAACTGGCATTCTTGGAAGGTACCGCTTGCATGGTCCTCTGTCTCTAGAATATGATTTTCTCAAGACCCATTTCCCTACTCTACCTTCTCTCCAAATACTGCCTCTGGCTCACCATCACATGGTTAGCCAAATGGAAATCACTTTAGCAAACCACCCTCCACACACTGCATCCTGGTAATACCCCAAGCTACTCTTCACGCTTTAATTGCTTCACCAGACACTGAAGTGAAGACCTCTTTAGCTCATCAGCGCAACTGTATCCAGATCTGCTTCCTCAACTGTAGGTGACCCCGCTCTGAAATGTTTGGGAGGAGAAGCTAGATATACGATTGTAAAGGAAGGAGCCTCACTGCCAACCAGTCAAAAGGTGGGGATATTGTTTTTTAGGGAATCAAATCCACTCAATACATTTACGGTCTCGAAACCTAAGGATGCAGAGACACAAAATTCATTTCCAGCAAAGGCAGAGGAGGCCAAGAGAACTGAATATAGCCATTAGTCAAATGCTTCTAAAGGCTTAAAATAAAACTTCTGCTCCTCTTTTTTTTTTTTTAAATTCAATTTGAGGGTTGTGAAGGACTGCGATGAAATAATCCATAATCCGCAATTCAAACCAGAAGGTTTGGAATAGTTTATAACCACAAACAAAAACAAGCCAATTAAGATGGCCTCTTTTTAAAACCAGAAGGAATTCCAGAGAGATGTCTTTATCCAGTCACAAGTTAACAGCAGAAGAGATGTATCTACAAATTTTAAACTTGCAATTTTTTATTATTACTGAATGTTTACATCACACAGACCTCTTGACCCATCTCCTAACTCCACGCGTTCTTCTCAAGAATCAGATAAAAATCTCAGCTAGTAGTTCGTGTGTTAGGTAAGGCTCAGGCCAGGTATAAAGACCCGACTAAAAGATGCTACTAATGATGGTAGGCCGTTAGAGGCTTTTCCCAATATATCACCCAAACTAGGGAGAAAGCATTGTAGGCATAAAGAATGGTCATTTATGCACCCCTTTCCTTCCAGTGATGCGATGGAGGCTGTGACAGCTGCACGGAAAGCTCTCAGCAAGTCAGAATCTGAAGAAGCTGGCGATGTCCCCTTGAACTCATTTCGCCTCACTGTGCCTCAGTTTCCTCACTTGTAAAATGAGGGTCTGGATCGGAGCAAGACAAGTATCTTTCTCTGCACCAAGGCCAATTTGCAAAACATAAAAAAGGTAAGGACCCTATACTTTCCCTCATTCAAAATGAAAATGGCTTATCATGGATGGAAAAACCTTCACTGGAAAATTTGTGCTGCTTTGGGGCCAAAGGAATGGTAATATTCTGGCAGGCTTCTTTAGTAATAGCGTGAAGACAACTTTCTAACCTTGGATGCTTGACTTAGAAGGGGCCACACTGGGGCGCCTGGGTGGCTCAGTGGGTTAGGCCGCTGCCTTTGGCTCGGGTCATGATCTCTGGGTCCTGGGATTGAGTCCCGCGTCGGGCTCTCTGCTCAGCAGGGAGCCTGCTTCCCTCTCTCTACTCTCTCTCTCTCTGCCTGCCTCTCTGTCTACTTGTGATCTCTCTCTGTCAAATAAATAAATAAATAAATAAATAATCTTTAAAAAAAAAAAAAAAAAAAAAAGAAGGGGCCACACTGTGCAGCAAGGAGCCATAAGAGCCAGTAGGTGAGGTGGGAACAGTCACTGTTACCATTAGCTTTGAATTAGCATCACCCGGAGCGCTTGTAAAAAAGGATTCTCCGGTTCTTAGGCCCAGGGCCCACTGCAGTTAATGTCTCAGTGTGGAGGTCTAGACAGATCCATATACTTGAAAGGTCCCCCTTTGAAAATCTGAGCCCTAGTTTTCGAGTGGCCTCTGGGAACCACAGGTCTAGAAGATTCCAAGATCTCTTTTGAGCTCTAATGACAAGTCTACATGTGCTTCTGCTATCAGATAATCTTACAGATAAATGTCTTTCAATAACACAGCGATGACAACTTAAGTCCTCAGACGGGATCTTATGCATACATCTGCTGGAGCAGCTTCAAAACTGAATCATCGCTGAACATCTAATTTCATTTATTGGTCAACATATACCAATCGAAAAATGTATTCTGTACTTGGGGGATTCAAAAGCTGTGACATAGCGTGGGAGTAGCCAACTGCAGTGCCTATAGGGACAGCAAGGTAGTATGAAGCATTAAAAAAAATAAAAAGGAAAGGAAGGGGAGAAGAAAGAGGGGAAGAAGAAGGAAGGAAAAATCCTACCAACCAGCTTCATCTAGTTTATGACCCCGGATGTAGATTTTATAGCTAACAAGGCTAAGTAGATTCACTGTCTCAGAGTAGATGAAAAAATTGGGGGTGAAGAATGGCAGTGACCCAATGAACAATGAGGGAGTTGATGGGTAAATAGAGGAGGGAAGGAGCAATTCCAGAGGTTGCCAGTTCTCTTTGCGGCTTGGCTGAAGAGGCTTGCTACTCGTACATAACCAGATGGGAAGCAGATATCAATCTGGTGTCCCAGATGCCCCCCCATCCCAGCCTCTCTCTACTTCACTCCACCTACACTACAGTGACGGCAGAATGAGGGGCAAAACATAACACTTAGCTTGTTATCGATCTTCTCTGCGTCACTGACCCCACCCCCACCCCGCCCCCAGCCAGCCTACAGAATTCCAGGGGCTACCATCCAAAAGCCTTTCTCACAGGGCTCCATCCTCTCTGGACTGGCCTTTGAGGTCATGCATCCCAGCCAACTGGCCACCCGACTTTATGTTACTCCAACTCTCTACGTCCAACATCATTCTACCTCCACATTTTTATTTCTCCATCTGGCTTTCTCTTCCTGGAAGGCTGTGATCATTCACGTCTAAATTCCGAATATTCTCTAAAATCCTGCTCAGAAGGCAGGAGAGCCACAAGTCTTCTTCCCTTGTTTCTAAATGAAATCGTCCTTAACCTGAACGCCAAATGGATCTTTTTCCACCTTGTCTCTTCATTATAATCACTGTCTCTCCTGGACGGCAAGCAACTAGAACCACTGTCCTAGATACATGTGCATTCTCCAGAGGATCCCCCACAATGCCGTGAACACATAAGACTTATTAAATACGTGTTCCGGTGATTTGCTGATTGCGTGGTCATTTGTTACTTCACTCATTCAGCAAGAGAAAAAATACTATGTGTTCAGAATACTGCCAGTGCCCTGAAATTTATCAGAAGTTTCTTTTGTGTATTCCACACCCACTTGCTGCTGCGTGGAGAAAAACAGATCTTTGGGAGGATACAGAAGATACAAAAGCAGGAAAAACGGATTCTGTGGAATTTGTTGGCACTCTCCCTATCAGTAAACAACAATACATTTCTGGGTTTAAAAAGAGATTTCATAATATTGTGCAGTATCACGTAACTTATCTGCAGTTCATATAAATGTGTATTCCTGTTCTTAAATCAAGCATTAGACTTAAAAATCTAGGCTATGGGGTGGGCTCCTAAATCCATGAGACTAGCTCTGAATAAGTTATCTTTTTCATATGGACAAAAGCTATAATTAGCTTAAGATTTTGCAAAACTATGAGCCACCTTGGCAAGAAGTCAATCTCTTTGTTCTATCCACAGATCCAACCAAGTGAAAAATCGTATTATTTATTTTACAGAGGGTGCTTGGTCAAACAAATATTTAAGTAAATTTGTGTCTATGAAACACACATTTTATAATACTTCATATGAGCATTGTATTGCTTTATGAATGGATATGTAGATCCCAGGTCTTAAATAAACATTTTACACACACATTTACTCCCATCTTAGAGTTCTGAGTCAGAATTCATAGCAGGTATCTCTACAGTAAATACCAGATTATCCGAATCACATCATGCTTGCCATCTTTCCCCATTCCAAATCCCTGACATCAAACCATTATATTAGTTTGTGAAACAATATGCTATACCTGGCAAGAAACACTGGTGATTATGGTGGGACTAAAAATGAATTTCATTTTCTTGACTCTGTGTCTCTTACTGTCATTTTACTATGATACAGAGATATTCCAGGTTACTTCATGAAGAAAGAAAAAAATAATTTCTTATTCAATTGCAGAAGAAACTGCACAACTTAATCTGATCATTGTGTGGAGGAGAAAATATTTCCAATGACGACATCTTCCTCTGTCAATTGATTTTATTACAGATTTCATCTCTGCGTGCTATATTAATACAGCTCTTTCTTCCTCTTTCAAGATTTTAATCTTAGTTTGTTGCTCTAACGTTTTATTGGTTCGAAATACATGTTGTAAAATCCGTGGCCATCAAATTTTCCTGTGGGCTAAAAATAACCCGTTCCTGTCAGTTAGAATTAGCTGATAAAGAGTGTCAGAGCCTGTTCTGAGTAAGTTTGATAACTTCCTGTTTATGCGGCACTGACCCTTGTCTAATAAAGCTTCTTTGCCCTAGAATAAGAGAAGATTCTGCTGCATTCTATTCCTTAATGGCCAATACTGATTACTTTTGAAAGCCTTTAATACATTTCCCATATTAGACATGAACAGATGTCAGGTATGTTGCCAAGGGAAATTTCTTTTATGCAATCTTGGCTTGTTGTACAATAATAGCCCTTTCTCAACATGGGAAAAAATTACAGACCCAACTAATTTCCCTGACAGGGGAGAGTTACATATGTTTTCCACTTGTAGTTTTTACGACAAGTTTACAATTTTGCCAAACCTGGAACTAATTGGGATCATTTCCAAAAGCGGCCCAATAAACCCCCAAAAGTGTGGAGACATTTGAGGAGGCAGTCAGGGACGGTTAGCTTTTTATTTTCTCCGTTTTGGTCAGAGAAGGGGTGGGGGAGTTAGATTGCAAAATTATTTCATTTAAGTTGCTTAAACACTTACTGTTTCATATCCTCCCAGTTTTTGAGCAGCTTGAAACATAGTCCAAAGGTTAACTGTTAGAGGGACAATAAGTATTTAGATAAGCATTGCATTAACATACTTCCAAGAAATGTCAATCAAAACATTTTGTTTTGTTTTGTTTTCAATGAGAAAGAGAAAAAACAAAAACAAAAACCCAAAACACTAGTACCCCAGAGAGCTAAGTTCTTAGGAAACAATTTGCCAAAGGGCATTCAACAGGATATATTATTACCACTTAAAATATTTCTTAAGAAACAGTCACAAATACGGAAATGGTTCTACTCTGGGGATAAAGGACAACACAGTTTTAATCCTATTGCCATCAGCACACCCAGGGAAGCTAAGTTAACAGCATCCTTGGGGACAAGTGTGAGATTTCAAAATTAGGGTTGGTCTTGTTCAACCCTTAGAAAGAAGCTATTGATTAAAGGGTACTATATCCTGCTTCCTTCAGATAAGAACTTATCATAATCAAGAAATACCAGCCACTTTTATACACGATTACCTTTTTAACAGAATGTCTGAAGGCAGCACTATATTAAGAACCCATACCGTATTTCACTAACACGTGGTGCCTTGTAATGAGTAAGAAGACATACCATTTTACCCTTGAGGTTGCAGCGACATAACAGATCAAAGGGAAGGAAGAACTCATTCACAGAAGACTCGAGTCCTGAGTCCACTTAGTCCCCTAACTTGCCTGTGTGATGTTTTGAATATATACTCTTCTAGGACACATCTCCCTTTGCAGGGTTTGCGTACGTTGATGCTGTTAAACAATTATGCCAAATTGCTGGCAACCTTCTTCCTTTGTCCCAAACATCATGGAATGGGACTGCTATGGATTTGACTCTTTTACAAGAGGGGAAAATTGAATTTCAAGAAATGCCTTGGTAAGGGAAATGAAGAATAAAATTTAAAAAAAAAAAAAAAAAAAAGCTCTTTGACACAACATGTTGGAAAAGCCTCGTTGAACCTTGCACTATTTCAAAGCTATCAGGAGCCCGGCCTCGGCCTTGATTTAATCTGAACCAATGCATAATGCAACAAAGCTGTTCACAGTACATTAATTTTACTTCTATTTCAAGCAACCAGTTTTCAGACAAACATTGTAATCATTCGTAGTTATATAAGTTTATAATGGCTGCGAGTGTTCTCTTGCAATCAGTGCCAATTGCTATTAGGTATGTAAATTGTTATGTAAAACATACAGGTTTGACATTCTTCATCAAAATGACACATGGTTTTAATCTAGGAAGATACATTTGGAGAAAATACTACTTCAAGCCAGGGGCTCATTGCTTTGTGTGCTACAAAATCCAGACAGAGGCAAAATATATATTCGGTTGTGAAATCAGGACCGGATCTGGGTTTCTTCTCTTTTTTTTTCTATGGAATTCTGCTCAGCTGCGAGTTTCCTTTTCTACTTAAAAACACATTACGATGCTTAAATGTAATCCAAAATTGGGCTTTCGGTTCAAATCTGGGTATTTTGTGTTTCCTCAGAAGTGAGGTTTTTGTTCTCTCTTAACAAATTTGGGGCTTAGGAAATACGTTTTCTCTTTCTGGTTGTTTTGTCCACCTTTCAATGTCCTCCTCTTTAAAGCTGCCTTTTTGCAGGCAACATCTGGGCCTGATAAAGTGACGTCATATTATTATCTCAGAAGAAAGGCGTTACAGACTCTCAAGATTGACAAAACAGAAAATGAGAAACTTTCAACATGTCTATTTCCAGTCATAATCAGTGGATTCAAGCCTATAAATATCTCACTGCAACTGCCCCAGAAGGGAACAGTGTAGCGGAAAGGGTCAGGGAGAAAAATTCCTGGGCTGGATGATTTGTAGATTTAGTATAAACAGAGAGAAAGCACCATCCCCAGATTAGGATTGCGACATAACCCTGAGTCAAAATTTTTTTTCCCAATTTAAAGAACAGCAGCAGTTTTGATCTTTCAGAAATGAAAACAAGCATACTTACTCTGTTTAAAACCTAAATAGGGGATCCGTTCTATTGGTGTCTTCCTTTCTTTCATGTATTTATAAAGTGCCACCAAGAAAGCCTGCTCATCTGCTCTGCACTCTTCACCGATGGCAACCTTTGGTTTCTCTTCATTGGAGACTTTTTTACAGTTATTGTGGTTATTCTTCGGCTTGGACAAGGCTGACCTGGCCTCACATTTCACCTGGAAAAGGGGAAAAAATACACCACGTCAAGTCAAGTACCACCTTGGAGCACTCACAAAGACACAGCCAGTGACAGCTTTCACTGTGTGGGAGGGGGGAGCCAGTAAATTAACTTTGCCCTGAAGTAGCTTTGTAGAGGCAACACTGAGTATGAATTGTCTCAGATCACCAGGTGGAAACTTTCTGTAAAGGGCCGGGTAGGAAATATTGCAGGCTGTGGGGCCAGATCATCTCTGTTGCAACCACTCAACTAGCACAGAAGCAGTCACAGACGTAGAAGTGAATGGGTATGGCTGGGTTCCAATAAAACTTTATTTATAGAAACAGGTGGTGAGGGGCCATAGTTTGCCAAACAACGCCAGCCTTCTAGTCCTTGCAAGTATGTTGATAGGAAACCAGAAACAGTGTCCCCGTCTGGTGGAACCATTCTTTTGCCTCTTTACACACTTTTATTTTCCCAAAGGGCACCATCTGTTAATGTCATTGAACAAAATCGTGTCTTCTTAATAAATAGTCCCATATTGCACACTTTGAATCAACATGGAAGAAAGTTTATTTCTTCACAGTAAACGTTTCTTGTTGCTACTATTTCTTGCCACCTGAAAAGAACATGTCAATGCCAGCAGATGTTGGCATCAGGAACACCAGCAAGGTGGGTTCTGTTACTTGAGGGGGATGCCCAGATACATCCTCAGTAGGAAACAAAAGATTCCCACTCTTTAATGGCTTTTTGGTCAGCTCTGAGAATGTAATAGGCGATATTAACTTGCCACAAAGGAAAGAGTAGAGGTCAGCTAAAAACCGACAACGAGTAATGGAAAGCGCCATAATTAAAAAATTAATGGCGGCCAACATGCCAGATGTTGTTCCTTCCACACTCTAGGAGAATACGGAACTCGGCAAACTGAGTGGCTAACCTAATGTTCCCTGTTCACTGCCATGTTCTACAAGAGGCCTTTGATGGTTGTTAAATATAACGCTAAGTTGCTGAGCTATTTTAATTGTAAAAGGGGAAAGTACAAAGGGTCAGACTTTGAGTTCAAGTGAGCCCATGGGGAATGTGTACATTCTGATATTCTTTACATCTCCATATCTAACATCGGAGAGAATAGGACAAGTGCTGGGGAAATGTTATGAATAAAAATGTCCCACATATTCAACATTGTTTTCCATTTCAGATTTTTGACCCCTCTTTCTCTTTCCCTTCAGCATCTCCTTTCTAGGCCTTAAGAATATAAAAGGCTGTGTTTATTTATACAAGGGAACTGTATCCTCCTGCAAGGGTTTTCTTTAACTTATTCTCTCAAGCGAACGTGCGAGGTTAATATCTTTAGACTGGTTCTGGAAAAAAATAAAACTTCCTGTACAACTCATTCAACTGGGCTTCCAGATAAGATTTTAATTTTTAAGGGGCTGTGCAAATGGGACTAAAACACTTTTCCATGTAGAATTTTTACTTACAATATTTTCAAACTTGAGTACTTTGTCACATTACATTAAGGTGAACATCCTGTGAAACTTTATGTTGTCATCATTTCTCACTGCCAAATTTTAGATCGAGTCTCAAGTTCTGATGAAATCTCTAATTTAATGGCTTTTGAAATCAGAAAATCATTCCAGTTTTAATCTGCATTGCCCTGGCCTTTTGTGAGTGCTTACGATGTAGCCAGGCTCTGTTCTAAGCACTTTTTAAGGTGTTATCTCATTTTATGTCCGCAACTCTAGCAAGGCACGTGATTATTCTTGCGTGAGAGATGAGGAAACTGAGGCACAGAGGGGATGAATGACAGCCAAAGGATCATGTCCAAGTTAGTACGCGGTGAGCTTGGGATCTGAAGCCAGGTGGTCTCATTCTTGTGGTAATCAACACCATAATTTACTGACACTCATAAAAAAATGGAATCGAGTCAAAATACACTTCCAATTAAAAGCACATCTTATCACCAGGCATTATAAAACCTTAGAAACGTGATCTATCAAATGAGGAATACAAGATAAAACTAGGTGGTTTCCAAAGCATAGAAGGGCTCCATTCCTTCTATTGTATATTGAGCAAAGGGAAGGAAACCAGTATCAATTGAGGCCCAGCAATGAGCTGGATACAGTGCTGTGGACTTCCTATAGTCCACAAAATGTTCACAACAATCATCAGAGGGAGGCATCTAGCTCCATTTTATAGTTGAGGAAAATGAAGCTCGGCGAGGTTATGTATTTTGTAGTTGGCTCATGGGGTCAGAACTCTGGCTTTGGACTCAGGTGGGCCTCACTCTAAATCCTGGTTTTGCACAAACAGGAGCAGATACAAGATTTGCATATAAAACAGCCTGAGTCTTAAACTTGCAGTGATCATGGGCCATTATTTATATTATGAGGTCAGAAGCACCACTGTTAAGGAAGTATGAGCCTTCCCTTAAGGTCTAGAAGGCTGCCTAACCTTCTGCCTCAAACTGTGCAGAAGCATCCAGAAATAGAAGGAAAGCATGGACCAGGTGCACAAACCAGGTCCAAAGTCATTCAGACTCCCTGCTTTGTAGAGAAGGCTCCTGGGCAAGCCAGGCTACCACCTACTGAACTCCATCTTGAACCTTGGTGGGTGAGCCAGCAGGTTTCTCCTCTTTGGGGCTGGGGGGTGGGGACAAACAGATGCCTTGTAAGAGGTAAGAGGTGAGCAGTGGTTTCCTTTCTCCGGCTAGCTCCATACATTTCTTGAGTTAACATAAAGGAGCCCTTTAGGCTATTACTCTATTTCTGGTTAGGACCTGGCCAACTTCCTTTCTACATATTTTCACATTTACCCCAAATATTCTCTTTTTCAGTTAACAATTTAATCTCCTGCAATTTTAAAAACAGGAGGTGGTCTTCATGTTGATCTTGAAAATGCCCAACATTTGGATGGTGACAGTTAATTCCTAGATCTGTTTTTCCCAACCTGAACACCTTCTACTTGTTGAATTCACTAAGAGCTTTGGGGTTTCTAAAGTGATTGAGGAAGTGCTAATTAAAGAATCCACATTTAATGTTTTCAGTGAACCACCACCTATTTGATATTAACCACATCCCTTCACTGGACTGAGTTATAACTAATCCAGCCTCAACGGGGGCAGCAAGGTATGATGAACCAGCAAGAAAGAAGAAGCTAGTCTAATTTTGATGTGGTCATTAACTTGCTAGGAGACCCTCATCTTCCCTCCAGTGAAGCAGGAAGGATAATTCCTGGGAGTGGTTCTGAGGAACTGGAGGAAACATAGTGAAAATAATGAAAGTATCACATTTGTGAAATATCAAAGGGATATTTGTGATTTAAGGGAAAGAACATACGGCACACCATTGTTTCCCTCTTTTTGTTCCTTTTTGAGTATAAAGCACCTGTAATATACTTCTGGCCTTTCAAAAGTGCCTACAGAATGTGAAAAGTCATTTGCCCTCTATCTGTGGGGGTTTCCCATTAGAGGACTGGACTGAGAAGATTTTTCTTGTACAGATTACCATATGAATGGGCTTGGGCCCACATCAGCTGCCATAAGATGGTCCCAGGGAAACAGCAGGATTTGGTTGGACACTTTCAAGACATCTTCAGAGAACTGGTAGCCTCTTTCCCGTGTGACTTTTGCTGTCTTTGGAAAGCCATGAGATCCTCCATCCCTTGAAAAACAGAGTTTGGCAAAGCTGCTTTTACATTTTCATTGAGAGAGTACAACCTTTTGATGGCAACAGGCAAATTACTCGAACTGCTCTTCCAGCCATGCAGACCACAAACCCAGGAGGTTCTCAGTCTAGAGAGCTTTGCTGTGTGGAGCTGGTGTGTATCCATGGTTAGAAATAGTCTGTTTGAGACACTTTTGCAAAACACAGTCACACAGGTGTTGGTCATAAAGCCCAACTGTCACTTGAAATATTGCTTCCAGTTCAGCAAGTGATCAGATGGTCACAGGCTTGTAATCTCTATGACAGTGTTTCAAGAGAAAAGACCTCTTTAAGACATAAATGCCTTTCTAGTGGTTGTCCTGGTCCCAGAGGTGGCCTGTTCATTTTGTAGAGACTTCCCATCTGTGTGCTGGTGTCAACACACAAGCCCGCCATACTCCATGCCTACTAGTCTCTTTCCTTTAGTTGAAGTGGTCTTGCCAGACCCGTTGGAAGCGACCAAGGCAGAACTGTAATCCAAGACTTTGAGAAGAGCTGGTCGTTTAGACCAGTGCCCAGGGGCTGACTGTGGCCGGTGCCTCATCCGCTCACCACTGAAACCAATGATGGAAGGATGATGAACCTCCTTGTGAAGATTCTGAACGGCAGCATTGATGGGGGTAGGGGAAAAGGGTCTCCTAGAAAACCCAGGTTTGACTACGATCCTGCCTAAGAATCCAGTGAACATGAAATACAGAACAGGCTCCTGTTCTCTTCAGTTTTGTGGGTCCTACTGTGACTGTTGGGCAGCCTTCCATGGTGAGAAATATTGGAGGTGCTGGTCTTTCAGATCAATTTGTATGAGTTTTGTAAAATTCCCAGAGGCATCCCAGATGACATGGGAAGGAGCTTCATTCATCCTGTTGGGCTCAGGTGCAAACATACTGGGGTAAACACATGATGTCACCGTGGAGATATGGGGCAGGGGGCCAACCTAAGATAGCAGCAGGGCAAGCTCGGTTGAAGGCTAAGATCCTAAAACTTTCTCACTCCATCCTACAGTATCTTGCAAACCACATCACAGGGAATAAACTGTTCCTGCTGACATCCTTCGAGGCCATGCAAGCTGATAGGTAGTTCTAGAGCTGAGATGTCCAAATTACTAGAAAATGTCATTCTTGGTACCCATGTGCACTCATTTGCAGAAGGTCAAAAGAGCAGGACAAAAATAACTTTAGGGAAAGACAGATCGGTGTGTAGCCAGAAAATAGATCGGTGTGTAGCCAGAAAATACACATTTCTACTGGTTGATGTCTTCTTAACCCTTTGCATTCTTGGAAGCACAAAGCAATCCTAACCAAAAAGTCCTCAGCACTTCCTGATAAAACAATCATCTGCTAAAAATAAGATTTATAAACTGTGGCTGTCTAGGGTTGGCTTCATTACACTGGGAAGAGGAGTGACATACAGGGCAGAGTAATAGTAGCCTGCCAACACAGAACCAAATTCTTATTTTCCTACATCAGAATCTTCCAAAGTCACCACTAGTGAAAATGTTCCCATTTTCGTTAAGTTTAGTCCTTGGATCTGGAAACATAGGATCAGTTGAAATCTGTTCTTTAATTTGGGTCCTAAAGGGGTTATTGCTACCTTTGGCACAGAATCAACACCTAAGCGCAAACACCCGGTAAACAGAACCGTGCAAATCTGACCAACCCCACAAAAGTCAAAAAGATAAGTCTAAAAACATGAAGTGACCCTTCACCCTCCATGGCGCTAAAAACCTCGGGCGTGCACTTTCAGGACTCCGAGGAATGCTTGGGCAAAATGGGCCTGGGCTCTGAGAAATAGTTTAGAATTTGGATTTTCATTCTGTGTTAATAGAGATCTTTCAGGAGATACAATTGCATATATCGGTACCTGTATCCATGTAACTGTTCTTCCATACAGGTAAACATCTTCAGTTTTAGTCTACGATAAATTAGAGGTGACTTTGGAAAAACAGAACTAAAAAACGCAATTCTAGCCATTTCTAATTTCATCCTCTGTTAATCTCTGCAACATATTTAGATGAACACGTTCAGAAAGAGGATGGTTCAGCTTGGTCTATTTTTGATACAAGCAGAGTAAACTATGTCATTGTGTCACCTTCTATGAAATCTCAGCTTCAGTGACGTGGGCGCTTAATCATCTGTCCTTTACCCAACAGGCCAGACTGGGAGGTGGGAAGTCTTTCTGTTGACTAATCAAAAATGCCTACGCTCCCCCCTCCCCCAGCCACCCAGGGGAGGGGAGGTGGCGGGAACAGACCCAGAGCTGTGAATACCAAAGCCAGATTCTGAATTGAAAACTGCCACCAAGACACCAGAGCAGAGAGATAAAGAGAAAAAAGGAAAAAAGAAAAAAAAAAAGAAAAAAAATAAGATATAGCCAAACAGAGAGCAGGAAGCGAACGATCATACCTTGGCCACAGCCTTGCCATCGGAGTTGTTGTTGGAATCTTTAACACCACTGAAAGAATCTCTTCTCTGTGGGCATGGCTTCTTTTTGCGTGGTCTGCCTTTAAGATTTGGCGCTGAAAACAAATGAAGAACAACTCATGTACATTTTCACTGGCATGGGTTTCCTTATGAAGAGAGACCAAGCGTGTTTAATAGAGACGTGCCCTCTAACCTGTTCGGAGGGCACGCAGGTGTGCAAGCCTACCCTCACGTTATGCTCCCTTCTCTGAAGGCTTGCGTATTAATAGACTCTACGGTTCTGTACATGCTTCCCAAAGCTAATCTAGCACACTCTAACCTGTCTGATTAGCATACATAAAACGAAGCTCTCGGCTCCCAAGGACAATAATAAGGAAAATGCACTTCCCTATTGTTAGAAAAGAAACATGTTGAGCTGAAGGACAACCCTAAGCCAGGCTCCCAGATGATTCTTTTTTGTTTTGTATCTCGTTTTCAGAAACCTAGGTGACTTGCCAGCCCATTACGCTCTCCTAGTAATGCAGTGTTCAAAATCCTCTGTCCTCAAAAGTGGAGACACGAGCGTTTTCTGAAACTGTGGTCCATACAAGTGGATAGAATACAAATAAGTAGGGAGAGAGCACAGAAAGCGCATTCATGATAACAATCGGAAAGCTAGTCTTACACGTATTTACAATAATATTGCGACCAGCATGTCCCAGATCTTAGCAAATCTGGCATCTACATTCAAATCAGCATGCTCTCTTTTCCCTTCCAGTGGAGTTTTTATGACGATCTCGAGGGTTATTTAAAATAACTTGCAAAGAACACACTGGCGTTGGCCTGATTCCGTGAAGGGTATATTTTTTTTAAAGCCACAGACAAGATGCAAAATCAAAGTTCTAGTTCATTCTTGATGCTGAGCTCGAATCCCTTTATGATCCACGCAGAAAGCAGCAAAAAGAGAGTGGCTGTTTATCTAGTGCTCCGAGTGTCCGGCATCAGCTTTCACACCGAGCTCCATCAGTCACCCAAGCTGAGCAAAATTAAAACAAAGCACTAACCTAGAAGCCCTTGAACAGTTCCAAACAAATGAATTACACCCCAAGCAGTGTTCTTCCAGCCTTTTCGAGACACCCACACTTTTTAATTGCTTTAAGGTAGGATGACAACAGTGCCAATTCCGAACAACTCGGGACGCTTTTAATTGCTGCTCATCTTCCTGACATCACACAGTGAACCAGGCGTTTTGGGACATCTGATACTGTACTCCTCTCACTCACAGAACAAGTCCCGCTCCTTCGATTTTTCTACTGTGGATAACAGCTCTGCTGCTGGGAAAGCTCAGGAAAGCGGAGCTGCCTTTCCAGTTGGACAAAAGTTTAGAAAGTGGCTTGTGGGGCTCAGGCTCCCCCTCCCAAACCCCCTGTCCTCTCCTCCCCACCACACACCCCCCAGCAGACGAGTGTCCAGAAGTCCAGCCCCCAAAGCCAGCCTGGAATTATCACGAGGAAACAAACTCCCAGACAAAAATCAAAGCAAAGAGAAAGTCGCGATTACCCATTCCAGTCGACAAACATCTGTCTGAGGATGTCTGCGCTCCTGAAAGCTACAACATGTGACTGCTTCCCGGCCACGTCCCTGGAAGTCTCGATTTGACTTGGTGTGGCTGTCAGCTTCCCTCCCAAGGCGAACGCGATTGCGAATGCGAGCTGCCAGTCTCCGCGTTCTGCTTACAACTCCCCTCCCCCCGCAGCTCCATTACTCATGTAAACACACAGCAGTGACTAGCACGGAGTGTGTGGGATGAGCTCTGAGGACTTTGCCGGAGTTGCCAGACGGGCAGGGAGGGCTCTGCTCTCTCCCCCGCCCTGCACGGGGCTGGTGATTTCATCGGGCCTGTTTTGTGGATCCTGACCTCCTGCTCCCCTGTCCCAGCCTCCTGCCACCACCTTCCATGAACCGGCCTCAGCCTCAGCCCTGAGCCAGGGCGGGGACTATTTTGGTTCGCGACTCCATGTGGCACAGAAGTGTTTCCACAACGGACCCAAGTGCTAAGACTTTAATGAGCGTGAGGGAAGGATGTCCTTTCATGTCCCTTATCAAAATAATAGCCCAGCAGAAAGAACTGACAGAATAGGAGCAGAACGTGGGGTAGGTCTGAGACATTTCACGAAAAGAAACAAAACAGAATCGCCTCTGTTCTCAGACTTGTTAACTACAATCTCTCCTTCCTCACATTTTGGCAAAAAAACCACTTAAACCTAAAAGCATTTCTTTCCAGAAAGCCTTCAAATCCCAAAGGCCTTTTAGATAGAACTTGTACTGAACAGGCTGTTTTAAATACAGGCAGAGGTTCCGGGAACTGACAATAGGTCATCCTCAAATTGGGTCTATTTTCTCCATTCTTTGAGCTGTTTTCAGAACCCAGAGAAGCACATGCCCTTCCCCAGCAAATTCTGAGAATCATAAATTTAGAACAGGCTAGCACCTAATATTCTGCTCACACAAACTTAACTCTAGATGGGATCTGATCAAGAGAAAAAGTCTTTTGTTCCTAAAGAGGCAAGTCGCTGACACTGCAGGTAGGCTAGGCAAATCCCACCGATCGCTCAAGCCTCAAACTCACAGACCTCGCTTCTTCTTTCCCTTCTCCCTTCCTTGTCTGGCTTTCTCTTCTGGAAGGTGCCATGGTATTCGTGGTATTTTAGCTGTGGTTTAGGGGTTATTTTAGCCTCGGTTGGAGAGTCCTGAAGGGCAGGACCATGTGGATTCTTCTGTCACCTGCCCAGCACACACCCAGGAAATGGCATTACATAGTATCAACTTGGTGAATGAAAACGTGATGGATGGAACTAAAGATGCCCACAGGTACCTCCTTCAAGTCTTCACGAGCCAAACCCACCACCCTGGCCATGTGCGTACCTGTCGTACTAGGCACCTGTAAAACCGCATTCCCTTCACTATTTACACTTGAGCTCTGGGAACATAACCCAGAGACTTGCAAGTTTGCTCTGTGAATTGAGACAGAAGACCCAAGGCTCTTGGTTCCTGATGACCATTAAGCCCCTGTGTCTTGCATCTTGGAAGGACTGTGATCTTGTCCTCAATGCCCCAGTGCCCCAAAGACCAGATGTTCAAAGTCCCAGGGAGAATGGAGCTTGCAGGACTGGGGGAGGGGGACCCATAATATATTCTGAAACCTCTGGGATCTATAAGACCCCAGGGGAAGCTTTGGAATTGAGGGGCTGGCTATTTGGGGGGAGTAAAAGTTCTGGTTACTCCAGGCTACTTTTTTTTTTTTTTTCCTCACAGAGTCAAGAGAACAAATCATTTGCTAGGTGGGCGAGTGAAAACAAATGCTTTATGGTGTGGTGGTGGTCAGGAGTGTGGGGAGCCAGCAGTAAAGTTGTTGAGAGCACAACTGCTCTAGTCAGTCCCACTACAAAATAAATAAGTAAGTAAGTAACTAACTAACTAAATAAATTAAATAGATAAATAAATAAATAAATAGTGAGAAGCCATAAATGCATGGTGACTTTCACATGTGTATATAATCCACAGCCCAGCTCTGGCCGGGCTTACTCACGGCGTTCAGTCAATGCTCTTCACATGAATGTTTTCAATACTACACACAAACAGTAAGAATAGCTGCTCTTTACTGAGCACTTTCTCTGCGCCAGTCAGCCCTTTGCCTATAATAACTCATTTAAAACTCGCAGCAAACCAGCAGGAAGGGGAGATTATTATCCCCATTTTCCAGACCAGGAAACTGAGACACAGAAGAAATTACTTGTCTTAGGTCTTGCAACTGGTTACATGTAGCAGAAGGAGTCCAACCCAGGCCACTGGATTTTATCCGGAGTCCCTGTTTTAAGGAACTTCTAACAGACAGAGGCATTCATTCTGTCTCATAATGAGATAGCTATATGGTTAACGTGGGCTGGTAGTTACCAGGGAGCTTTCCCCAAACAAAAACACCCAAATACCACATAGCACATGGGTGCTAGGGCCCATCTCGGGCATCCACCAGCATCCTACAGGCTTGACATGGAGCAGGGTCCCCGCCGACCTGACTCAGCGGTAGGTGAAAGGCTTCCACTAATGCTGCACAGGTCTCTAACACCGAGAGAGCCATCCACATTCCCCCTTTGCAGGAAGCCACCGACTCTTCTGCCTAAACAGTGAAAGACCTCTGTGGTTTTTAAAAAAATCTTTCCTCTCTGACTGCCCATCTGTTCCTCTTACTCAGCGTCATGAAATTAACAAGTATGCGCCTTTGTGAAGTCACTACTATTTCCATTGGTGTTGATCCCGGGAGCTTCGGCGAACGTGGGTGCTCCGGGCGACTTTGACATCTGACCCGCATGTTTTGTTTTTTCCTCTTCTTAACTCCGTCAAGTATTAATAAAATAGAACCTTTTTTTTTTTTAAGACAACATAGCAAAACAAGGTTTTTGGGTTTGTTTGTTTTCTTAACGCGTCTAGAAGCTCAGAATTTCCAGGCATTCTTTTATATGTTCACTTCACTATGGGTTCTGACAAGTTACGTGTCAGGGCAGAGCCAGGTGTGGGAAACTTTCAGCTCAACCCCAACTCTTGAAACAATAATAATAAAACAAAGGAAATGTAACCAGTTACTGGCAAAGTAAATTGCTTTTGGCTTAAACGTTCCTGTTTTTTTCTACTGTGTTCTTCCTGTCATGACCGTCTCTCCTTTTTTATAACATTTATGCTCTTGGAAATACCACGAAGATAAACTGCTATAAAAGCAGGATTGACTCATCAGTTAACAACTCTTTCTTCTCATTTTGCAGAGAGCATTTTGTTGCCAAAGCAGCTCCATATTCTCTCGAGAAATTCTTTGCGAGCTCCCTCTTAGAGATAGGACTTGCTTGTTGGTGGGGACTGCAGTTAGGGGGATGGAAAACCAGGCATCATTTTCCTAAGAGTTTGACCCCCAGGGTCAATATCTAGAGGAAGTTGGCAGAGCGTTAGCTCATTTGATTTGCAAGTTTTGTGTGTGTGCGCATGTGCCTGTGCATGCGTGTGTGTGTGTGTGTGTGTGTGTGTGTGTTTGTTTTAAACACTAAACACAACCTAGAAAACTAAACTC